TGCAGATTGCGGCGCAGCGCAAATCTGTAAATGAATATTCCGAAGTGAAGTAAACTTCAACGGATTTCCCCTGCTCAGGGAGTAGGGAGCAATGGACACTGTGTAGGGACCATGTCAATCGGAACACAGTTCATGCACGGAGCTCACTTCTAACGAGATGATCTGAATCAGGTGTTAACAAAGAGAGACGTGCAAAACATGCAGAGCGGGAGTACGCGAGTACTGGGATTGAGAACCGCTGGTCTAGAACAATTCTTACAAATATAACACGACGTAGCTGGGCGCCGCAGACAGACGCCGAATGGCGCCGGTGTGCCTACACTCATAGAAAATAATGTGTTCGAATTTTAAAGACGTGGTGCGACGCTGCGCTTCTCGTACGGTGTGCGACCACCTGAAATGCTGTTTTTTTTTTTCACGTCCGAAAGCGGATGATGTCAGGAAACAGTGGTTGCAATTTACTTCTTAACTCTGTTCCTGAGCATTATAACCCCAATTTGCTATTGTGTGCTGCGCATTTTACTGAGGACAGCTTCCACATCACGAGTGAGAAGTGCCGGATTCGCCAAAAGCTTTTGTTGAAAGATGGAGCAAGGGGCGTGGCAGTACTGAAACACTGTCTAAGCTGTTCGCCAATCACAACGCACTGGGACAGCTAACCAATCACAACACATTTTGTTTTTCGGAAGGCGGACCTTCATCAAAGCCGGAACTAATCGAGCCGTTTGTGCCAGCCTGGGGAGAAAGGTATTTTAATAATGTAAATTATGTGAAAAATAATGCGCTTTTCGAACCACCAAGCATGAGAGCATGTTCTAGTAGGCTACACCCCCAAAACTAAATCAAGACTTTGTAAAAGAGCATAATAGGACCCCTTTAACTTTGTAATAATGTCAAATTAAAGGTTCTACTTAAACATAGTCTTTTTCATGTTTTAAACACTTTAAAGTACACTTATTTTAATATGTTGACACACATACAAAAAGCACATGTAATGTAGTTTAGAATTTTTACTGTAGTGTACTATTTGATTGCAACTTTATCATTACAAATGTGTAATTACAAATAAATATTTAAACAATGGAAACAAGATTAAAGTATATTTTAGTGCACGATAAATGCTTGTAAATACATTCAGCAGTACACTTACACATATTTCAAAGACAATAGAAGTAATAAAAATTGTGCTTAAGTTCTATACTTACATGGATTGCTCACTCAAAAATTAAAATTCCAAACAGTTGCACTGGCCCCTGTTGACTTCCATAGTATGTACAGTAAGTCCCCATGTACGTCAATGGGGACCAGAAACTGTTTGGCTACATACATTATTCAAAATATATTTTGTGTTCAACAGAAGAACAACTTGAGGGTCAGTAAATGATGACAGAATTTTCACTTTTGGGTGAACTATCCCTTAAGTGGCTCAAAAAAGCGCTCTAAACTTCAGCTAATTGCATTTAATATAAATTTAAACTAGAAGAATACATTTTCAAATAATTGTAATTAACATTCAATTATGTGTTTGAAAACATTACATTCCGTTCACATTATTAGTATATTCTTTTAAAGTATATTATTTATGTAATAAGTATTTATTTTAAAACGCATTTTAATTTTTATTTAGTATTTATTTTTTCCACAAGGGGTCACATGCAAAGTTGAACTGATTTTCAGAAAGCATATTGCAAGGTCCTCCTAAAGCTACAGGTTTAATGACATGGCATGTCATAACATAACATAAAAACACTTACAGTAAAATCCTTTGTGCTCTCAAAGTACCAAACAATTTTCTGACATCCTTCACACTGCACCTGTAGCTTAACACTCTCAGCGACGTTCACTGGACTGCAGTTGGAACAGCTAAAAAGAGTATACACAGATTTCAAAGCAGGCTACTTAGTACAAATGACAACAAATCTGAGCATATAATTCGATCGAATCAAATTGCAATCAGTTAAATTCTTACGTAACAGAAAGCTTCATATTTTCTCTAGGAATGACAGTGATGCATCTGGTTCCAGACTGTGTGACACCATGTGACTTGGTATGTACAGTATACACAGAGAAACTGTACACTGGTGGTAGGCAAGCTTCGGATATCTCATAATCTCTATGTTTCACTTCACTGGGACAGGGGCAATCCTCATCTACAAAGAAAAGAGAAAGAGAGAAAGAAACACCAGATTCTTATGTGCTATGAGGAATGTTACATAGATCAACTCTGAAAATATATAAACAAGATGACAATTGTTGGATGGTTAGCCTGGTTCCATTAGCACCTGTTGGTAACTGTCCTAACTACACACACCAGCAAAAAAGCATCTTTCTCTGCTGACAGCTTCAGAAGTATCCACGTTTCTGACTAAACTGATTGCAAGCAACATTAAAATCATGGCAGTCCTTGTCTGACTGAGCAACTGCAATTGAGATGAATGAGAATGCTAACAGATTTCTCCAGGTATTATAGACCTCCTTGGATATGACACATTATTTGTAATTTAGCAGTAGTGGTACTTACGGCATTTCCAGATAGCGTTGTCATCTACTAATCCCTCAACATACAGCTTGATGCTGGTAGTGCCGATGACTGGGACCTCTGGATCTACTGTGACATTTAGATTATTGGCTCTGGCAGTTCTCACTTGTTCACTGATCTGGAGAAATAATTGATGTGTAATAGATGTGCTGCATTTTTCAAACAAGATAAGTTCTATTGACGGTATCTGTGGCATACCACAGAAAATAATTTCAACACCATCAGTTTGTAAAAACAAAAATGTGTGAACAGTAAGACCCTTACAACTGAAGTCTAAGGCAAGTCAATGCACTGAAATAATGCTAAAATACACATTATTTCAAAATACATCTGCATGTAAAGTCATCATTTAAAATTTAACTTTTATATGTTCAGGGATAACAGAAAAGTATTTTATAAGTTTATATTTAGTGTTTATAATAAAGTCCTATAAGTTAGTTTTCTGTAGTCAACAAAATATCACATTCATTAATGAAGCATAGCTTGTACTGAGTGCTTATAACAAAGCATATGTGTTTATGGACAGACTCTGGATCACATACCGTCTCTTCTTCATGTTTGTTCACTGTTTCATTGTGACAATACACTGTTGTGTTTCCACCATCTATTACCATGCTTGAGAAGGGATTCTCTGCTCTTACCACAACATTTAATTTGCCTAAATAAGATGGAGAAAACATCTGAATGAAGAATCTGAAAGCTGTGATTAAATATACACTACTTGACCAAACGTGTGAAGATCATTTTTCATTGTAATGCATGTTTTTAATATTTAATAATGTTAAAAATCCTATTAACGCCCATGGTTATGAAATCAAACATTCACTTACTTTTGGCCCTCTAATGCATGTGTAAATAAGTAAAAGGCAGTACCTTGTATTGTGTTTGAGATTATGAAAACTTGTGGACTTCCGTGCAGCATCTCATGCATCTCAGAAAAGGTGTGATTGGCTCCAGACACCAGAAAATGCAGTTGCACTGGAGCCCCCCGAGCCAGAGACACATTGACATAGAGGGCATGGACCGGACACTGCTCATGCTCAAATTCCATGTCCGCTATGAGTCCTTCCACTGGCTCCACCAAGCACAGCTCCAGGACAGCGGAGCGATCTACAGCCGTCACCCCATTGAGAGCCACAACAGTAAACTGTTGGCAGCCTGGTCCTAGCTGCTGCTGTACTTCTGGAGATATGGTGATGTTATGGGGAACGATCCCTCTGATAGCGGAAATGGAGGCCAGCTCTGTATTTTCATGCTGAATTTTGTATGTTACATTTGTTCCTGGAGGAGGTAAACATTCATTTAGACTTATAATATGTCCTTATAAATTACTACAAATGTTTCTGCCATCTGGTGGGTGAAAAATTTAAGTAGGCCTATATGGGTAATAAAATCCCAATATAAATCCCAATAAAATTCAGGAAAAAAATGTCAGGATTGTGAGATGAAAATTTGCAATTATGAGTTTATAACCCATTTGACCAATTTGGGTCTGCAGTGAGCACCACTTAGGGAGATGAGCTTCCATAGCTTGAATATTCGCTTGGTTTTTATTTATTTATTTTTTATTTTACTTTTTCACAGTCAAAAATTAAACCGATGAGACTGAACAACAACAAGCCACTGGAGACCACCGCGCTGATGATTGCTTGTGTGAGGGGAGATGCAACTCTAGTTTAGACATTTGGAATCAATGATAACTTCTGGAGAGAAATAGCACAGGCCATGAACAAGGATAAAACTTTCTAGTGTGCATGTGTCAAGCACTTGTGCTCATGTATGCTATCAAATGGAGTATACTTTAAGGTTAAAAGGTTGTGCGTTAAAATTTATGTTTTTCAATAAAATGCCATATCTAGGGGCCACAATGTCATAGACACCAGAATACCTTAGAATATGCATAGAAACACCCTAGCAACTGCGTAGCAACACTTTGGCAACATAGCAATTTAGTGTTTCGTTTTGCAGGGGCTTTTTCAGAAACTGTAAAAATGCATGAAATTACATTCTCTTTTGTCAAAATAATAACAATAATAATAATAAAACATTTATTTTTTACCTGTGTCTAACTCCACTTGGATTCTCAGAGGGTTATTATAAAGTGCTTTGCAGTTGGAATAATCTGTGGATTGATTCATGCTGTGGCACATTATAGTCCCAAACTCTCCAAGCGGTTCCTGGATAGTGATGCTTTTGGAAGCGGTCACATGCCATTCACTAGTACTGCACTCTACCGTGGCAGTGTATACTCCAGCATGGCTGTACTTATGCACCACATTCTCCATCCTAAAAAGAGTTTCCACAGTCAATCATTAAAGTTCCATTGTGAAAAAACGTGCTTAATTGTATTAAATGTGCACTTACTTGCAGATAACATCATATTAATTACATAAAAGGCAACTTAAGTGTACTTAACGAAAGTACACTTTCATGACTGTTTCTTAACGAAGTAGTAGACTTATTTACACGTTTAGCATTATATTTTAATAATCTTTTGTCATTCTCTAAAGATCACATTTTGATGTGTTCACTAACATATAAAAGCACATGTAAAATACTTGATTATAATTTTAACGGTATTGTGTTACTCAGTATTACAGTTAAAGTTAATATATTTAAATGTACTAAATTACGAATGTGTAATTACACATATATTTATATACATAAACTATACATTTCAGTAGAAATTTAATTAAAGTGTTTTTTAACTTCACTTCACTTCACTTATATATATAGATATACTTAAGCTCTATTTAAAAGGGCTATATGTACAATTCAGAAACTCTTGTTATTAGCGACACCGGTGGCCATTAATTGAACTGCAGCCACCATCTTATTGCTCGTGCTCGCACTGAGGCAAGGGTTTCCAACTCTTATGCATTTGGGATGAGACACATGCTTTTAGGCTCTGTTTCATGCTCTCACACTGCCCAGGTAAATCTCACGCCAAATAAAAATGCCCAAGTACTGCACAGACCGAATCTAACTGTATTTTGATGTAATACACCATTCAGTCTCCGCAGTGCTGCATGAAGTCGAACACAGACCTGCTGCAACCTCTTGATTGGACAAGTCTGTACCAATCACATTTTCCCTACACCGTGCAAGGTCACTGTAGTATAGGAGTTCTCAACTCTGGCCCTTGAGGTCCACTTTCCTGCAGAGTTTAGCTCCTACCTTGATCAAACTTGCCTGCCAGTAACTTAATAGTAATCCTGAAGATCTTGATTAGCTTGTTCAAGTGTGTTTGATTAGGGTTGGAGCTAAACTCTGAAGGAAAGTGGACCTTAAGGACCAGAGCTGAGAACCCCTGCTGTAGTATGTAAGCTGCTGATGCCCACCTGCGTGATGATCACCGAAGATGTTCAGGCAGCATTGTGATCTCAATACATAAGGACATTAACGCATGAACTTAATCTCCAGAGTTGCTCTGAGAGACACTTAACAATCTTTTCACCATTTACTTTGAGAAAAACTACCGTCAAGCAGGCATGGGCCAAATACCGGTTTCAAGGTATACCTCGATTAGAAAATGTCATGGTTTCAAAACCACAAAAATTTCCCATTATTCCCGTTGTACCGTCTACAAAAAACTAAACCTGACTGCTTATATTAGGAATCTTATAATGGGCCGTGGTTGGATCTTCCATCAGGACAATGATCCAAAACAAACATCAAAACCAACACAAAAATGTGTCACTGAGCACAAAATGAAGCTTCTGCCATGTCCATTCCAGTTCCCTGACCTGAACCCTATAGAAAATGAGTGGGGTGAACTGAAGAGAAGAAGCAACAACATCGAGTTGGGAATCTGAAGGATCTGGAGAGATTCTATATGAAGGAATGGTCTCTGATCTCTTGTCAGGCGTTATAGGAGAAAACTCTGAGCTGTTATCTTGGGAAAAGGACGTTGTGATAATTGGGTGCCAATAATTGTGGCCAACGTGAACTAGAGAAAAACATTTATTTCATAATGTGAGTCTTCCCCCACTTTCCATTGTTTTACTTCAATCATAGGTTAGAATTTTGTGAATTTTTTGAATGAAAGATCAAAAAGATAAACGATGCAGATTTATTTTCACAACCGCCTTTTGCCCCAGTGAAGCATTTCTATTAATATAACTGATTAAGTAGTCAAACTCATTCCATATTAGCAGAATAGTGTGGTACAGAAAGTATATGTCCATAAAAAAAAGTTCTGAATGAATTATGTTATTGATACCTAATGGTCAAAAGCAATAGCAAAAGTAATAGGTCAAGATTATTAAATTGCAGACAAAGATTTTGAATAGCTAGGCTGGCTTGTACACTATATTGCCAAAAATGATTGTACGCATATGTACAAGTCATTGGTGTTTGGCTATGAGGTTTTTTTTTGTTTTCCCAATACTTTGGGCAATATAGTGTATGTTTGCTTCGGTAGGGGGCCCAACCTCATATTCTTTCATAGGGCCCAAAATTGCTAGCGGTGCCCCTGTGTTTGCACCAGCTCACGTCGACAGATGTGGTAATTAAAATTACAATGTTGTGATTATAAAATCAATTTGAGACTATAGACCAGGGATCCTCAAATCTGGCCCACGAGATCCCCTTTCCTGCAGAGTTTAGCTCTAACCCTAATCAAACACACCTGTGCATGCTAATCAATGTCTTCAGGATCATTAGAAAATCACAGATAGGTGAGTTTTATCCGGGTTGGAGCTAAACTCTGCAGCGCATTGGACCTCCAGGGTAAGATTTGAGGAACCCTGGTATAGACTATATATACAGTGGGGAAAAAAAGTATTTAGTCAGCCACCAATTGTGCAAGTTTTTTCTAACACAGATACAAATGAAATCTGACTTCACCTTGACTTTTCCGCTGTCCATTCAATGCAAATATGAAATAGAATTAAATACATTTTCTGAGGAAAATGTTGACTGTGTGGCTGTGCACAAGGCATTATGACAAAGCATTATGGTTGTTAAGGTGTTCTGTGTGCTTTTATCATGTTGCTGTTGCATGCCATTTCAAGACAAAAGAGCTCAAGTCTCTGTGACATTCTGGTCACTATAGATGGCTCAGGTTCATCCTGCAATGTATTAGATATTTTAATCTGTTTTATTGTCTGCCAGGCAAAACAATCAAAAGATTGACTGCTTAGAAAGCAAATGTTAAAATACTTACTGTTGAAAAAGTTTTAAAATGATACATACCTGATATACGTAAATGTTAACCTGATTTTAGTGTGAAAAACAACTTTCACACTAATTACACTACGTGTAAAGTTTATCTAATTTTACAACTTTGTCACCATTACAATGCAATACCATTAAACCTAAAATCTTTATGTAAACAGCTTCACAGCTCAAACAATAACAGAAGAATTAATGTTGATTTTTAGAAAAAAAAATTATAAGCTTCACATTTCTACTTTTAAGTCCTCCAGAAATTGGCTCCATTCACTTCTATGTTAGGTGCCTCACCTTAAACGCTATTCTTTTTTTTTGGTAATCAGCAGGAATGAGATGCTCTGTTTTGTTCTCAGTATGCTCCTGATGTACTCCCTGTGGGGACTTGGTGAGCGCATTTGCTCCTTTTGACAAACATGCAGGCACAGGCATTACCTTTGGAGTCCTGCCAGGCATTAGTGCTCCCTGTGTGCTCTTAGCGGGCACAGGTACTTGTGGGGACACAGTAGGAGAAGTACACTGTGTGGGGTATTGTTGGGTAAAGGCATACTCTTTGGGGTACTAAGGGGCATGGGTGCTCCCTGTGTTGTCTTAGCTGGCATGGCTGCTTCATTTGGAGACCTGGCGGGCACAGATGCATCCTTTGTAAAAGAGGTCTGAGGCTTCTGTTGCCTCAGATGCTGCCTCAGAACCTTAGGGACTGTCAGTTTCTCTCTCTGTGGGGGTGCTCCCAGTGAGGAATATTCTGGCACAAGTAATCTCTTTGAGGACTTGGAGGGCATGACTACTCACTTTGGGATCCTGATGGGCATGCTGCCTCAAATGCTCAGGGATCCTCTGTTTTCCTCTGTGAGGGGTCCTGGTTGGCACAGGTGCTCCCTGTATAGTCTTGGTGAGCACGCATGCTACTTTTAAAGAATATGCAGACACAGGCATTCCCTTTGGGTTCCTGGTGGGCATGAGTGTTCCTTGTGGTATGTGGGCTTGAGGATTTTGCTGCTCTAGTTGCATGGGGTTCCGCAGATTTGCTTCCTGTGTGGCCTGAAATTTCCACTGCCTCCACCACTGCCTTCCACCATTGTTGAGTGGTCTGCAGTGTTGCAGGCTCACCCACTGCATCAGGGGACCTGGTGTGCACAGGTGCTGCCTCTGGTGACTCAGCAGGTGCAGGAGCTGCCTCTGGGCACCCATTGGGCACAGGTTCTGCTTCTGGGGATTTGGCAAGTACAGGAGCTTTGGGGACCTGGCCAGTATAGGCACAGCTTCTGGGGACTTGGTAGGTACCGGAGCTGCCTCTGGGTTACTGGCATGCACAAGAGCTGACTCTGGGACCAGGTGTGCACAGGTGCTGCCTCTGGTGACTCAGCTGGTACAGGCGCTGCCTCTGGGAACATATGCCTTTCCACCGTGTGGTCCGACTCGGCTCGGCACGGCTCAGAAAAACTTTTTTCATTCCGTGTCGCCCTATCAAGCTCTCGCTGGATCCACTCCTCTGCTATCAACGGAACGTCTGTACTTCCTCAACAGACAACGAAACAGCCACTTTTTGGTTGTTAAAAAAGGTGCGCTTGTTCAAAACAGTTGCGTTCGTCCCTTCGCTGGCTGTGCTGATTTAAATCTAGCGGTTATGTTGTGTTTGTGTCGCAAGTTCAGTGACGCAGGTAGTGACAATTCTCTCCGGCCAATCCTGAATCAGCAGAGTTTACACGTCACGTTTTGGTAACGGTACGGTTCACTTAGAACCTCAACCGAGGTGGTACTAAAAAAAGTACCAGGTACCAGGTACTGTACCCAGTGGAAAACCCCCAAAAGTGAACCGTAGCGAGCTGTACCGTGCCATACCATGCAGTGGAATTAATAAATAGAGGAGCTGCCTCTGGGGACCCGGTGGGTACAGGTTCTGCCTCTGGGGATTTGGTAAGTACAGGAGCTTTGGGGACCTGGCAGGCATATGCACAGCTTCTGGGGACTTGATTGGTACTGGCGCTGCCTATTGGGTCCTGGCGTGTGCAGGAGCTGACTCTGGAAACCGGTGTGCACAGGTGCTGCCTCTGGTGACTCAGCAGGTACAGGCACTGCCTCTGGGGCCTTAGTAATTACAGGAGCTGCCTCTGGGGACCCGGCAGGCAAAGGTTGTTCCTCTGGGGATTTGGAAAGTACAGGAGCTTTGGGGACCTGGCAGACATGGGCACAGCTTCTGGGGACTTGGTAGGTACAGATGATGCCTCTGGGGACCCGGCGGGCACATGTGCTGCCTCTGGGGACTCAGTAATGTAGTATTGGATGTAGTTCCTTGCATAGACAAGTAGACATCAAAGTGACAGTGGGGTTCTGCATTCATCTATGAAGGAATTCATCTTTGAAATTGTCATAGTCTGTGTATGTTATGTTGTTTTACTTAATTGACAAGAGTTCAGGAGTGAATTAAGACTCTTTGGTGCTCATGGGCACTGACAAGTTAACTAAATCTGGACAATAGCAAATTGACTAAAACATGCCATGGTCCAAGCTAATCATTACCAATTGCCCACTAAAAAGAACTCTGTGTAGGTAAAAAACCTACTGTGTAGGTTTCTTTCTCAAATTTTGATATTGCAATGCAAACTTGTTATTGACATTCTGAAAATCCAGATGTTAACCACTTCAGACTCAATGGCCTTACTAAGGAAGTATGGGTAGTCTTTTTTAGTCATTATTGTTATCAGGTCATCGTAATTAATTCGAGGTTTTGATGTCCTCAGCTCATCATATTTAATTTACCAAATAATTTTCAAATGTTTTACACCATTCAAAGAAAGGTAGGGCAGACAAAAGATTGTCTTGATTCCTGTTTTATACTTTTGTGAGGTTCTTAAATGAAAACAAAGCAAAAAAACTCACTAGTCCAAACTCTGCCCCCTTTAGTATGTGCCAATGGCTGCAAAGTATGTGAAAGTGTGATGCTGATGCTCGCTCCATAGTGGATTTACACATCCATTACTGAAGCATTTTAATTTAATTGAAAGGCATGCAATACCACACAGCACACTCCCAGTGTGAATGCTGTAATCTGTAAAACTATATAGCAGCACTTCTTTATTCTCAGATATAGTGTACAATGGCTTTACAGCTATCAACATTCATTAATATTAATTATTAACTTTTCACTGTGTCTAATAAACTATGAAGATTGTTTAGGTTGCACACAATGGGTAGTCAGATTCTCTTAATGTAATGGATGTTATACTTTTGGGAAATTATGCTTTTGTCTAGAGATGACAATTTGTAGAATTTTGAGAAGTACAATTTTATGTGTGACTAACATCAGGCATCCAGTTTCTTGGATAAGTTTTGGCTTGAATGTAGTCCATCACTCCAACAGCATGGAGATTGTTTCAGCAACACAAAGGAGAATGAAGTCTTGATTAAACTTGATTAGTTTCACAACCAGAATGAATCACTTCCTGTCAATGAGAAACATGCACCTAATCTTTATCTTAGAAACGTCAATCAATCATTTAATATCTATAAATCTTGCAGGTTTTTAGGATAAAATTTGTTATTGTGTCTGCATCGTGAAGTAGCTTACTGATGAAGCCAGAAATGTGCAAGAAATGAGACGGCGCCTATAGCAGATCTCCATTGGCTGATCTGAGATTATGGTTATACTAATTTACCAAAACAAGTCAGTTCTCATTGATTAAAATTCTCATAGGTCAAAATCCATTGCAGGTTAAGTCATCAATAAAGACTATATTTAGAAAAAGACGTTCATTATAAACATATACTCTGTAAAAATAAAGTCTCCAGAAAGAAACTTGACCCCAAAATGATCATGAAAAATCATAATCATAACCAACAACCGATAATCTCAAATAACATTGCTGGCTTCTATAAGTGAGTGAAGTGACATGTGGCCAAGTATGGTGACCCATACTCAGAATTAGTGCTCTGCATTTACCCATCCAAAGTGCACACACACAGCAGTGAACACACACAAACCGTGAACACACACCCGGAGCAGTGGGCAGCCATTTATGCTGCGGCGCCCGGGGAGCAGTTGGGGATTCGGTGCCTTGCTCAAGGGCACCTTGTTGTGGTATTGAAGGTGGGAGAGAGCGCTGTACATTCACTCCCCCCACCTACAATCCCTGCCGGTACGAGACTCGAACCCACAACCTTTTGGGTTATGAGTCCGACTCTCTAACCATTAGGCCACGACTTCCCCTTTTAGGCCACGACTTCCCCTTAAACAGAAATCCTGTGGACATTGTCGCTTCTCGCCCCAGCGCCGTTCGCCAACGAGGAATTCTTCTTCTAAACTCTTATCAGAATTGTTTTTCTCTTAGTCTGAGGTAAAAGTGCATTGATGTTTGTGTGCTGGCAAGCTTCATTTATTTGTTTATCATGCTTGATTCTGCAGTTTACCTTCATTCATGTTCCATGGGGTTAATATAGTTCTTTAATGTTAGACAGGTAACAATCAAGCCATTTACACTATAGGTCAAAAGGTCGGAATATTTATTTATGTTTATTTATTTTTTATTTACTTTTTTTTTTTTTTTTTTAAAGAAGTCTCCTATGCTCAC